AGTGTCACTAAAAAACTGGATTTTTAGTTAATTGCAAAAACATATTTGTTTTTCATTAAAATATTAATGATTATTTCGAAGAAAAAAATTATATCAATTTAATTATAATTTTAAATTGTTATCGTGAGGATAGATATGAAGCATATTTTTTAGAAGGGGTGAATAGGGATATTAAAGAGTAATATTTATTTATATTATGATAAAACATTTCCTTAGTTATGCAATTTGGTAAAACATTTCTTAACAATCTTATTATTAAATTATATTTTATGATGGAAAGTATTTTTATATTTCAACTTCTTGACACAAGGACAAAGACTGAAAGAAAAATCAATTGTTGAACAATGACTATTAAAACTGCTATAAATAAGGGATGATGTTTTTGCCTAGACCTAACGCACAAAGTTATCGTAATCTACCTAATATAAACTTGATTTATTCTTAGAAAATTTAAAAATAAATTTTTAATTTAAACAYTTCATGATTTAGAGGAAACAATCAAGATCATAGGTGAATTTGATGAAAAATTCGAATCTGTTTTTAGAATTCTCATAATTTACAGATCATTCGATAGGAACATTGTTAAAATAAAACACATCTAAATTCCCATGTTGTGTGTGTGTGTTAAACAAAGACAGAACATCTGATATCACTGTTTTTCAATCTCCTTAAGTTTAAAACTTTTTAACTAAAGATTATTTGTACAGGTGTTAAATAAACTATATTAATTAATATTAAGAAAAGGCTACACAGACATTTGTTAATTCCATCTTACAAGTGTGAAACATACCAAATTTTAGGCTTAACAGATCACGTTGATCTCTGWAAGTTTAAAAATTAGATTTAATTAATTAATTATACATTTTAAAGGTAGGATTATTATTTGAGGCATCTCATTTACTTTTTATTATATTTTAACTTTAAAGTGAGTCATAAATATTTTAAGATGTAAAGACAATTTACAATTTTAAAATACTCATAATTTGCTTTAAAATTAAAATACAATAAAATATACACAAGATGCMCAAGACCTTGCCTTAAAATTGTATGATAGGTTACTATACTATTTTTAAACTTACAGAGCTAAACGTGATTTTCTGAGTGTAAAATGTTCTGTTACACTCCACGAAAACAAATGACTGTGTAGCGTCCTTTTAAATAAATCTGCTAAAAAAATCCCAAGAAGGATTATCTTCACGCTCCTTTCCCACTCATTAATCCACATTATTTTTGTTGGAATCCTATTATGCCACTTACATCATTTTACAAATTACAGTTTAGGTGCTGCACTCTATCGATCAAATTGATCAATGTTAAGGGGGTCGAAGCCATAGATAATAATATGTATATATTATGTTGTAGGCCATTTGGAAAATTKGTCTTTTTGGTAAAAGCTAGGCTTTTTGTAATGAGGTAGCCTGTTTGCGAACTATTTATTATTTTTCCGAACAGCCTGCTGTATTTCAGGCTTATTGCATACAGACTAACAGCACTTAGGCGTTTTAAGAACTACGATCTTTATAATATAACCATTTTACTTATTTTAAATGTGAAGTTTAGTTTGTTGAACTTAGAATATTTATTCAAACTATAACCTCCAACTTATAAACTATATCAATGACGTATGTGAACATTCTCGAGTGCTACTAATTGAATAATTGCCTCATTATGATTTATTATTTTTTTTACCGACTATTTTGAATCACCCACTTCCATAATATCATATTTTTTAATCAGTCTATATTGCTCTTGCTCTACTCACTATTTTTTTTTTTTTTTGGTTCCTGCAGTATTTTAGCAGCTGTTATTTCAAAAACAGCATCGGATATTGTTGGAAATTATAATTTGAGTCAATATTCTAAGTTCAATAAACTAAACTTCACGTGTAAAATAAGTAAAATAAATATTATCATATTATAAAGATTGTAGTTCTTAAAACGCCTGAGTGCTGTAAGTTAGTCCGTAWGCAATGAGCCTGAAAAACAGCAAGCTGTTTAGAAAAATAATAAGTAGTTCGCAAACAGGCTACATCATTGCAAAGAGCCAAGTCTTTTCGCAAAAATACCAATTTGCCAAATGTGAAATGACCTACGACATATACATGGATTAGACATCCCTATAGCTATTGCCTATTAAGCACGATATGTTGTGAGCGAAGAGTCTACTCGTTACCATATTGGTTATATGCGGTTACATATGGTTTATGATAAATACAATTTTTATCATTCTGATTTGAGCCAATTTTTTGAATAAAATACGATAATTCATTTTAATATTATTTATTTATTAATATTAATTAGGTACATTACATTAATATTATTTATTTAAAATAATTTATAAATGTTTATATTGCGATATCACTTCCAAAAATAATGACGAACATACCTTGTTTTTTCATTCGTAAATATACATTTTATTGAATTAACATGCATTTTTAGTTATTCTATTATTTACACCAATAAAATATAAACTTATAAGCAATTTAATGCAAAKAATATCACTTTCCAAATTTTTCCCTTCGATGTGAGCCTAAAATTGCGTTTTCTTTATTCTTTATCACTTATGGTCGATACCCCACGCCAGAGGCGGTTTGAGTATACTGTTTTTGGTGCACTGCACCACCAATGTTAGGGGGATGGGTGGTCTTGGTTGAGCATGTGCTGACCGCAATGTTTAATTTTAATGTTCAATAAATGAAAAGAGTAATAAAGTACCTAATCAATGACATATGGTAAATGATAATCGTGGCTGAAACTGTTGAAAGCGTCGAGTTAAGAATATAAGGGCCTTATAAATTATAAACTTATTAAAAAATATTTATTTGTAATTTCTATTATGATGATGGTGGGAGGGGGGGGGTAAGTGGGTGTCTATATATTGTTTTGGCGTCTTGCACCACTAAAGTATAAAACATTCAAACCGCCTCTGACCCCACCTTAATTATAATTAACCACTTTGGCAACGAGTATACTCTTCTATGACACTTAAATACATTGTCTGATACTCTGATGTCTTATCCATGTATATATCAATATCATCTATGGTCAAAGCATGACATGATTAGACATTTCATATTACTGCATTTATATTCGAGCTGTGTCAATGTGTGAAAAATAAATGAATGTTAATGTGTGTGTAGTTGTTCGTAAAATTAGGTATTAAGTGCCGGCATGGACGGCTCAACRTCCACATATAAATTTCCGTACGCGCAGGCACATGTCAAAGATATAGGTTTTATCAAATACGCCATTCTATTCTGCAAATGACAAAAGTGCCAAAAAGCTAGACACAATTAAAAGACTAGAATTCGATGCATTTTAATTTTAAAAATTGGCAGTACGCTGTCGTTCACTGCGCCGTCGTCGTTGCACAACGTGAACCCCTGCAGGCTCGGTCATCTTGGTCCGACAGTCCAATTAATCCTCTTGTGGTCGTTTCCGTWAGACGGCAACGGACATTTGCTGATTTTGCACCAGCGTTTCTGCTCAAAGAGTCAATGATTTTTCCGAATAGTCCAAATTGCCCAGTGTTCTACTTCTGCAGTGATCGTACGTCAAAATTCTATTTCAAACAAACGCTTAAAGCTAAAAAATTTCAATTTTTTAGATTAATAAAAAAAAATATGAATTAATATTGATTATTTATTTTTTTTTTAAGAAACTATAATTATATACATGTTTATTTTTAGGGTTTCTATTGCCTATGATTGGTTACAYAATTTTAAAACAAATAAGAAATAGTCAATTGATTATTGATACCGATTTTAATAATTGTTTCACCTGTRCAAACATCACAAATCTAAAAATTCCAGAAAAAATTAGTTTCTATGTTTTGATATACCTACCTAGTTTTAGATTTGTGTGAAATCTTTAATGGGTTAAGGATGGGGTAAATCCGTAAATCCACGAGTAGTTGTCAATTGTCACGAGAAGTGGACAGTGGTGAACATCACTACGCCAGATATAAAATTATAATTTCAACACCAATTTTGAATCATATTATAGAGTTGGTATTTTTAACGGGCAACGAAGTACATGCRGGATCATCTAGTATTTTATAAAATTTAATTATGGTACTTACTTATTGACATTTTAAGTTTAAAACAAATAATATAATTTAAGAATTATACTGTCATTTTTGAAAGATTTATGTTAATGATTTATATTTTTTTAATGAGATAAAAATTGAAGTTTTACACTAAAAAAATAGTGACTTAAATTTCACCGATTTAACTACTAGGAGACACAATACTTGTCTTATAACTGTCGGGAGCCAATTAATGTTTTAGATAATTGACGTGGGAGAAACGTCCGTGGGTTAGTTTATTTTACATCGATAAAACAGCACAAAATCTAATTTTTGATTACAATAAAATTATATTTGAGGTTTTAATGGTTTTATATTTATTAGACATTAGACATATCTTCAATACGATAAATACACTGGCTGCCAATAGATAAAAACGCAGGTATGTAATGTACCATATCTAATAAGTAATAAGTWATAATGCTCCAAGTCACCTTTGCAAGCTAAAATTACWTTTTTAAATAAAAACAAAAAAAATATTTCCTACATAAAATATACAAGAAGTGAACAGATTCAATTATTTTTTCAAAATGAAAATTATACTTTTGGAGATATGAAGTTATGGAGATAAATTATTATTCTTTCACTTATTGGTCACAGAATAATATATGAAATTTCATATAATATTCTGTGTATTTGTTTAAAAATTTAAAATATTAGGACATGAAATAACGACCAGCGTTCAACAGCCTAAACAAGTTTGTTCCAAAGAACATCGACAGTCGATATGTTTTTATAGTGTCTTTGGAATACAGTTTTGTTGTTGTTTACATTACCAAAATTCACCAATTGGGTATTTGCTATTAATTCCGTTAACGGTCAACTTTACAACTACTGATAACGTTATGATTCGACGTTTGACCTAGTCGTGAATCGTCGAATTGTGATTGTTTCGTTTTCGTAGTTCGAGGGAGTCGTAATTTCATACAACTTTAGTATCGTAGTAGCATTGATTATAATCAATGGTAGTAACTAGTGGTAGTAGTTTATGCTCATAACAAACTTACTATATAATATCAAGGTAATACATGTCTTTGGTCGTACTGTCGCAGCCAATAGTTCTATTATCATATGTGTAAGTTGTTCGTTGCAATCGTCGGTCGTAATAATATTATCATACGGTTTAACGTATTTAGTATTTACTATTCAATATTTAACGGTCGTATTTTCGTATTGTCGTACACTCGTACAATAACTTTCATGTCATATTCTCGACAATCATACAGTAAACTCGAAAAGCAATTATATATTGAAACCGAAAAGCCGTATAATTACCAAACCAAATTACGTGTTCATCACACATTTATTCATATGGCATATGCCTATATTATATGCCTGAAATATTAAATCAAAATGGAAAATTTCGAAAGCACTATTCTTCGTTGGGTAAGTCGAATATTATGATTTTATCTCCGTTAGTCAAAGTATTGTCGTTTGAATTAAGATTTTCATATTAATACACAGTTTGTCTCAGTAAAATAAGTTTTCATAACCAATAGCTTGGCAAAATAGGTAACATTAAAATTATGTTATTTGTTAGGTACCTTACTAATATCTATACTAGTGGTGGGYATATATGGATTTCAAAAATCCAAATTATTCGGATTTGTCAAATTGATTTTGCTGTTCAATGACTCATTTTTATATACTAATATTTTAATTCTATAACATAATTTTTAGACATAATGTAATACAGGTATACCAAAGTTAGAACACTATTTAAGTACCGGTGATATCATAAAACTTGAGTATTAATTTATTGTTAAATTTTTATTATAATAAAATAAAATTATTGATTTTACCATACATTGAAAATAATTGTAAGTCGTAAATCACATAAAAAGCAAATCCATAAATCCAGATAATTCGAGAAATCCGGATAAGAATTTGATTCAAATCCAGATTTGGATATTCAGATGTCATGCCCATTCCTAATCTGTACCTATTACCTACCTAGGCCAATAATTCATTTTTGTATTTTAAGGAAGATTACTGTACTTGGTTTAAATAATGTGCACAACATTACTACAATATTGATTAACCCAAAATTATAATGCTCGATACATTATTATTTACTAACTACTGATGTACTGCCTATTATAATTCATTATATTTTTGACAACTAAAACAGAAGGTATACACAAACAAATTATCATATATATTATATAGTCAGTCATAATTACATCTTTTTGTATCTCTTCAAAATCTATTAATCTTTTTTTTTTAATTATTGATTTGTGTTGCTGATATTATACTGTATATATTAAACTAATGAAATGAAAATAGTAAAATACATTTCATTTCTTTTTATAAGTACTAGTTACCTACCTGTGTTAACCTGATATCAATTGTAACATATTATTATGTACCTTGATTAATTATTATACTACAAACATTTTCAGATGTGTTTATTTGATGAATTTAATAACATTGAATATTCAAGTACAAAACATCTGATATCCAGTACATCGTTTAAACAATTTGTTGATGATGTGTAAGTATTGTGTTTCATTTATTATATCAATCATACCTGAATATAGATTGCAAACATACTAATAAATGWTTTTTTTAACCTTACTACAACATAAATTCCAGCATAGGTATGCTGGATTGTAGTTAATAATCACTTCACATTTAAATAAATCAATAATGAGCTACTCAAAAATCTTACACGTAATTTAGTAGCCCACTATTGGTTCATTCAATTTTAGTTAAATATTTTTTTTGTGCTACTCAACATTATTTTATTACTAATTAAAACCTATGATTATATAATATTAAATATATTTTGATTTTTTAATTTTTTAATTTTATAGATTTTGTTTAAAATGTTCTTCAGCTTTGAGCACAGATGATACAAAAGTTTACAACACTATAAAAGGTATTATTTAGTTTTAAAGTTAATTTATTCTAAAGTTTTTGTACTAAATATTTTTTTTAAATATATTTTAAATAGTGAACTATTGTGAGTTTGAAGTACAAAACTGTGAAGATTTATATAACGAAGACAATGCAATTTATGCATGTATTATTGTTTTGCTACATGCATTATTAAAATGTACTAATGACAAATTCAGAAATCAGTTGAGTGAAAGAATGGATAATGAAGAGCAAGTATTACTCGCAAATTTCTTAGAAGCTACACAACCCTCATTATTCACTAAGCAAAATATTTCCKAAGCACTGCTGTTAATAAATGATTCTAAGCATACCTCTATTAATGTTTCAGGTAAATTTAGAGATTTTTATTTCTATTTTTAAATGTAGCTRTAGCTGCTATACTTGTTTCAGTAAATAATTGTATTTTATAAATATGTATGTATAGAAATATGTTCAAATAACGACACACCAATCAAATCAAAATCAATGCGCCGTAGCTATTTACAAGAATTTTGTCAGGTAATTTCCCATTTTCTAAAGTACTCCCATATCAGTATATATTATAAATACATTTGTGATCATCCAATTTTGTATTGTACATGTACAAATTCACTCTTAATATTAAGGAGGACTTAGCTAATAAAATCAAATGATATTTAAAAAAGAACAAAAACAACTTTTTCAATTTTGAAAATAAATAATATTTGATAGATTGTTCACTGAATTTTAACTGCGGTAATTCTTAAAATTCCTAATAATTGGAAGTGTGATGATGAAAAATATGAATACAAATTAAAAAATACCTTATTTTTTTTTATTCAATACCTCAACTCAAAATTTTGATACTCAATATTACACATAATATTAAAACCTAGTGAACTTGTTAATCAATATAAATCCATTGAACCAAATTATTACAGTCTCGTCAGTCATTTTGGTGATAATACTACTATTTTAATTGAAAATTATTATAATTTATTAAGATCTTGTAATTTTACTGATGTTAATTATAAATAAACTGACTAACTGTCTAGGGTAGTATTGTGTGGGTATATCACATAATATGCTACTGGTGTGCGGCCAAATGAAAAATATGTATATTATTGTATATTACTTGAAATTATACCATTTCATTATATGGTCTCATGGTAAAATATTATCATGCCTTTTTGAATTTAGAGATGATTAATAAAGCATAAATTTTTCTTTTGGAACATAATAATATACTTGTAGAACACATTTTAGATAAGCAAATGTTTGCAATTTTAGGTTATCTTGCCTTTATATTAATTAATAAACTAAATTGTCTGCATTTAAGCATATAAAGAAAAAATACTAATATATTTCTCTTTCTTGCAAAATCAATGCCTTTAAAAAAAAATTATTTTAACAATGACAAATTTGAAATATTTTCATACTTATCAAAATTTCTCAGTAATATAACAATACGGATATTAATAAGGTAAAAGAAATTATAATTGCTCATCTTATATCCTCACTCTACTAATKTTCAATGTGGATCAAAGAGTGAAAACAGATGACTGACTGACAACCTCTTAAAGCAGTATTATGTTATTTATAAAATAAAAGTGTTAAGTGCATATTTCTTTTGGTAAAGTATTACATCTGACAACTTTAAATTATTAATAATCACCAGGTAAAATAATTTTGCCTTTTTAAAATATGAGCAATTAAATTATTATTTATATTGTGTACTGTGATCTTACAATATTGTTTTAACTATTTTTTATAATGCTTTATTTATTAATATTTGACCTTTCAATGTATGTTACCTCCATATACCTGCATAACTATATTCAATCAGTGTTTAAATTCCTTAATCATTGTTTTATTTGATATTTTTTTACCATCAACAATTTAAAATGAGTTAATATTAATGAAATAATGAATCTTATAATCTTACTAAATAGCTATACTCAAATTAAATTAATTAAATCAAAAATAAAATGAATAAATATTATTTTCCAATTTATAACTAAGCAAATAATGATAAGGCCTTAACACCTAATTTCCTTATTTTTATCTAAGCTTTTTTATGAATGAATCATAATATTTATAGTATGAAATATAAAATTATAATTTTATTAATAAATACTTATTAATTTTAATTAATAAACAAAATTTTTATGTTTAGCAAGAAACTTTACCTTTTGAGTGTAAATGAACATTTATACATGTAAAAAATGAGTTTACAGATTGTCCTCGGCAAATATTAAGCCCAATGTATTATAGGTTATTCAAACTTAATCCTAGATGGTGATTTATTGTACTTATTATTGAAACTTACAATACTAAATAATAATTATTTTTTAATTGTATTTATTATATAAATTATAAATTATGTATGATAATTTGATCATCTATATTTTAGTCGCCAAAATCTCAGTCCTTAATAAATCAAGAAAAAGAAAAACTTATTGCCAAACTTACCGAAGACTATAAAAATGAATGCGAAGAAAACTACAAGTTGGCTGAAAATGTTAAATACCTGAAAGATCTTAATACAAAACTAAGTAAATAATTATACTATGTACATCAAATATAAATAAATTTTAAGATATATATTCATTTATCTGAAAATATACATTTGTTATCAAAAAAATTCTTTTTAAACTATGATTATAAARAAGGTTAATTGAAATTTTCCAACTATTTTTTTTCGTATATATTATATTTTAAAGCTTATTATACTTTTTGCATAATGCAAAAAATAGAAATAGTAWTTTTTTTTACTAATTAAAAATAACTTTTTCTTACTTATTATGTTTAATTTAGGTAATAAATTAGAAGACAAAGATAAAATATTACAAATACTGAAAGATGAAATCAAAGAATTTTCTAAACCAAACCAGTCTCCAGAATGTTTAAAAATAGACAATGATTTAATTATAAAAAAATTAAACAGAGACAAAATAGATTTGGAAATGAATTGCAATGAATTAAAGCAACAAGTAACAGAACTTGATAAAAAACATAAAGACCTTAATGGAAGAGTATGTAAATTATGATTTATTATAAATTACTTATCTAAACTGTCAGTGATTACTTTAAAGTTGAGATGTGTGAGGCCTGTCTAATATCTTGAAATAGCATATAAACAAAAATTCTACATTCATTGGTTGATAAATTTGCAGTTAGATTATAGCTTGTATGATGCCTTAGGTAATGGCATAATATTACATTATGCCTAATGTAAGTATATTGCAAAGATGGCCAAACTTCTTTTGATTATGATCTACTAAAAATATTTTTTCCTTTTTGATCAACACACATATAATTAATTGTTTYTGTACTAWGAATTGCCAATAAAAGATCAGTTTTCAAAATAAAACTTGGGCTAAAGTTTGAACACAATTGTATTCGATTTATTTTTTCTTAGAGTAAATAGGCGYAGTTTTTTTGTGTATATAATTAAATTGTTGTTTTAAATTATATAGTAAAAATTGTATTCCCCCTTTTTTTTTAGACTTTAGAATCCCCTTACCATAATAATACAATCAGACTTGTTTCTGATGACTTAATAATTAATCGTGTAATTTTCTAACCTGTTTATTAATATTTTTTATTTATTTATATAGTTTGAAATGAAAACTTTAGATTATAATAATCTTATTGTTATGTTTGACAATATCGAAAACGAAAATATGTTGTTAAAATCAAACTTAAAATTATTTGAAGAAGCCATACAAAAAAAAGACACAGAAATAACAGTAAGTTTAAATTTAAAAAATGTATGCCTTACTTTAAGTGGTACAGAGTTAGGTCGTCCACTAMTAAAAATAATATGATTTATACTAAAAAATGTTTATATCATAAAATTGCAGCTTGAATTAAAAGAAAATGATCATAATTTAGCTTAAATTACTTGTTTACCTTTTCTTGCATATAAATTATTTTTAATAAAATTAAACTACTGTAAATTTATATTCCATTTCTGATGTAAAATCTATTATTGAGCTATTCAATATTCAATTTTTATATTGATATTAAATAAAATCATTGATGTGTTATTAAGTTTGTAAGCCAATACTACTTATACCATTGTTACATATCTTCATCTTGTTCAAATGTTAGTTTCTTTATCGCTAAAGAACTTCAGTGTATGTGAAACCCATTTTTTCTATCTACATTATATTCTCTTAAAAGTTAAAAGTGTATATTTAGTAAACATAGGAAGGTTGTATCCATATGTTTATTATCATTGGCTTTTTTTTATTTTTTTTATCTGATATTGGCTAACTAAAAAAATATTGTTTAAAAAATCTACAATTACTTCTTTGTTCTGCAGTCTTTCAAATTTCAAACACTATATTTTCAATAAATTTTAATTATAAAATATCATGTTGAATAAAATGTATGACAATTTTTTGTTTTAGTCCTTAAAAGATGAATTATGTAATAAATCAATTACAAATAATCCAACAAATATAAGCGGTCAAGAGAATAATGCTGTGCCTTCAAATACATTATTTAATGAATTGAGTTGTTTGAAATTAGAAGAAATAACACATGATAAAGAGAAGTACCGACATAAGTACAAATCAATAAAAAAAGATTTAACAAATGTAAGTATATCAATAAATATTTTTTTTATGAATTTCTTCATTTAATTACTTAAAATTTGAGTCATAGTTTATGTGTTTAATATTATAGTATCTTCCTAATAAGTACAGTTGTCTCATTATTAAACTTGGTGTACTAATAGTCACTTGAAAAACTTTAAAAATTTTAACATTTAGAACTATTTACTAATAACAAAATGTAATTTATCTAAAATATATTTCCTGCAATAAAAATATAATTCAAGTTGCACTGATAATCAATTTARTGATTCTTCACTCACATAATATGATGTATCCATTTTACAAATTTATGTTCAATAGAACTAATTTTGTGTGAATTCTTTATAAAAATATTATTTTTGGCATTTAATAGGATTTTATTATTTTAATTTGTATACCTTAAATATTCATAACTTACTTTAATATTTAAATATYATTAAAAGGTTAAAAAAGTACCATGGATTGTATTCTTACTTTTAAATTAATAATAGATTCATTTTCTTTATATTTTGTTTCAAAAGAGAATAATATACCAGTTCACCTTTCCCCTTCATATGGTCACTACTACATTTATTGTTAGGAGGTTGCGCTATTTATTGGTGGGAGGTGCATATTGCTAGGTAAAACTTGTTGCCTGGTGTATTAACTTTTGGACAGAGTATAATATTATAGCTAAATATGGAAAAATCCTAAAATTGGTTCTACTAAACACAAGTTGTTCACGCGTTATATGTATCCAATTAAAACTAAAAACTTCGGTAGCAATATTTGTTTATCTAATAAATAATTCCAATTTTTTTTTTTATCAACCACTAAGCCAATGAACTATTAATGGGTTAAGAAAATAGTTTGATTATAACATCACACAAATATTCTGCCTATTAAATAACTGATAACAAATGTAATATCATATAATTGTATTTATTCTTTTTTTCTTTATGGTTTTTAGACCAAAATTCATGTTAAAGAATTGAATGAGAAAATTATTATATTAGAAAAAAATTTGGTTGATTATGAAACTCATAAAGATGAACTGATAGACCAATTCTCAGACAAAATTAAAGAACTTCAAGAATGCCAAAAGAAAAAAAATAATTTAGAATCAAAAATTAAGCATCTTAAAGATACTATTCAAGATAATGAAAATCATATTGAATCCCTGTGCTCTAAATTAAATAAAAGGGACAAACAAATAGAAATGTTATCCATGGAAATAGATACTGTTAAAAAATCAAAAACTATGATTGAACTTATTTTAAGCAAAACTAACACAGAAATAGAAGCAATWCATGAAGAACATGACGAAAAAGTTAAAAATTTACAGTCAATTATTGATGAATATAAAAATTCAGAAAAATTATCTACTCAAAAAATGATAGATCTAGAAAATAATATAAAAAACATTCAAGATAATTTAACAAATAAAGAACATGTTATAATTTTTTATGAAGAAAAAATGGCTGAAAATTACCAAATTGTTGGTAGTCTAGAAGAACAATTAAAAACTATGTATCAAGAAAAACTTATGTTAGAATCTCATTTAAAAAATATAAAAATTGAAATTGAAACACAACAGAAAAATTTCAGTGACAAAAATTGTGAAATGGAAAACTGTTTGGAATATTATCTTGATGAATTGAAAGATCTAGAAAATGAAAAAACAAAATTAGTAGATATTGTACGCTGTAAACAAAATGAACTAGAACAACAACTAAAATTGATTAACAATCAAAAAGATATGATTAAAACATTACAATCAGAACAATGTAGCCATCAGCTAATCATAAATGAGCTTAATGAAGCTCTACAACAAAAATCTTCCGAAAATAATGATTTACGTGCAAAAGTACTAGATTCTACAGTAGATTTAGATAAGTTGAAAGAGCAACTTAATGCAGCATTGGTTGAAAATAACATGATAAAAACAGACTTAAGAAATGAGGAATTGAAAATTAAATCTATGAATGATGAATATCAACATCAGATTAATGATATGAAAGATATATTAGAAAATCAAAATAATCAATGTATATTAAAGGTTGAGAAATTACAAGATACTTTAGAAAAAAAGCAAAATGATTTTGACAAACAACTAATAACATGTAATGAGCTAACAGAAACAATTTCTCTGTTACATTTAGAAAAATATGATCTAGAAGAAAAATTAAGATCAACTAGTCAAGATTTAAATCAAAAACAAATACAATTAGAACAAATCACTGTAGAAAATAATAAATTCAAAGAAACAGTTGATTATGCTRATAATCGATGTATTGACTTGGAACAAAAATTAAAGGAGTCGAATAACATTATATTGAAAAAAGAAGAAGACATTAAAATATTAAAAGTTCGTATGTCAGAATTTTCAATCTCTGAAGAAAACTTACAGAAACAAATAATTGTAGTTCAAGAAATTTTGAATAACAAACATATTGAGTTAGAAAATCAAATTCAGTGTTGCAATGAGCAAAGAGATACTATTGTTAAATTAAATTATGAAAAAGAGTGTCTTAGCGATAAAATAAAAAACCTCGAAGATTCTTTATCTCACAATGAATACAAATTTAATTTATGTGAAGGAAAATTATATGATTGTAGTAACACAATTGATACTTTAGAAAAACAATTAAACTTGATGAGTGATGAAAAGTCACTTTCAGAATCCCAACTAAATGAAACTATTACTAAATTAACCAATAAAAATCAAGATCTTGCCCTGAAACTAGAAATCAATGAAACAAATGTATTAGAAATTCAAGAAAAATTAGTTCTAAAACAAAATGAGTTAACGAAACAAATAGAAAAGTCAAATGAACTAGTTAAAACAATTTCTTTTTTAAATACTGATAAAGAAAGATTACAAGAAGAAACCAAACAACTTCAAAAATGCTTGAATACAAATGAATTTACTTTAAAGTCATTGCAAGAAAAAGTTCTTATTTGTGAAAAAGAGTATGAAGAATTACAAACATTGAAGACAAATTTAATGTCTGAACTTAATGAAAACCAGCTAAATTTTACAAATTTACTCCAGGAATCAAAGAAACAACAAGAGGATATGGATATTAAATATATTGAACTACAACAAAAATGTAATAAAAAAGAGATTGAACTAGATGAATACATTAATAAATATAACTGYCATATGAAATCAATTACAGATTTAACCTCAGAAAGAGATAATTTGATAAATAAAATTGATGTGCTTGAGAGTACTTTATTAAATAAAGATAATGTTATCTCAGCTAATCAAGAAAAATTGCTTGAGTATAAAGAAATAAATGATAAAGTATTAAGCGAAAAGGCTGCAATGGAAGTAGAATTAACACAGCGTCTTGAAGAAATGGAAAACAATTTATGTAGCTTACAAGAAATATTAAATTGCAAGCATTTAGATTTAGAAACTAGAGAAAAAGAAAAAGATCAACTTTTAAAGACCATCTCTAGTTTGACCTTAGATAAAGATAATTTAATAAATGAAACTAAAGCACTTAAAGACTGTTTATTAGAAAAAGAAAAAACTTTAACATTGAGGGATATTAAATTGTTTGGATTTGAAAAACAATTAGAAGAACTTCAAAATCAAAAAAATAACTTAGAAACAGAATTCAATGATACTAAAATACACTCAGATGACATTCAACACAATCTGACTCAAAAACTTGAAGTTACTAATAATAAACTACAAGAAGTTGAGGAACAGCTTGTTAATCTGAAAGAAGAAATGAATGAACAGAATAAATGTTTAATTGAACAAGTAGAGAAAATCAATTCATTAACATATGAAAATAATAATTTGGTAAATGAGACAAATAAGCTCAAGGAAAATATAGTTCAAAGTGAATTTGATTTAGAGTTAAATCTAAATCAATTGCAGGATTTCGATAAGCAAAATAAAGAATTAGAATGCCAAAATACATTGTTGGTGAAAGAACTAAATGAACTGAAATGTCAATTAAATAACTTACGCCAAGAATCCACTGAAGAGTTTGATAAAATGGATAAAAAATTGTTGGAAGCTCAARAACAACTTAGCTATAAGCAATCTGAAATTAAACTTAAGRATGACTCAATAACAGATATTTACCATAAAATAAATTACTTAAAAAATATGAAAGTTGAACTTGAATCAATACTTAAGAACGAAAGAAAAAATGTTGAAACATGTTTTGAAACTTGTTTGAATTCATTGTATCAAATTAAAAACAAACCCATATTAGATCAACATCATGATTCATTAATAGAAGTTATAACTTCTGCTGATACATTTATCGAACAAAATGGTATTCAATTAGCACGAGTTGAAAACTGTGATGAATACTCGATTATTGAAAGGGTGAAAAAAGTATTTGAAGCATTGAAAATGTTTATAATCAGTTTAAAAACTCAAGGAAATGAACAAACAATAAACCATTCTAATAATGGATCCAATGATGCATATACCGAATTACTTGCTTTATCAAAAACGTATGTATTTCACTTAATTAAATTTTTTATGAACAATAAAAAAATATATTTAATTTCAGTCAGCAAAAAACCATTAAACATCTGGAGACTGAAATGGCTGCATTGAAAACTGAATGCGTTTACAAAATGACAAAAGTGCAACAAAAAACTCAAGAATATGTAACTTCAGAATATGAAAAAAAGTTTGAACGAAAACGAGAACAAATGGTAAAAAAATAAAAACTATCGTAAAGCTAAATATTAATATTATTATTATTATTTTTTTTTTTAGAAACAATTTTGTAAAGATTTAGAGGCAAAAATTCATCAAGATTTTGAAGCTAAACTATTAAAATACAAAGACAAAGTATGTTCTATACGTTCTGTATTAATTTTTACCATCTTAAATATATTATTTTAATAGATAACCAAAGATGAAATTCACATCAAAGAACTCGGTCAGCAGTTATGGGAAGTTAGTGAAAAATATTTAAGATTACAACAAAAAGATAGAAGAGAATCAACAATGTCCTTACCATTTGAAATGTCTATGATTTCTGAAACAGTAAATATTTGAAATAAATGTGTAACATAAGTTTAAGGTTGTAAACAGTTATTTGTATGTACACTTCTTTTACAGACTACCACTCTCCCAAAATATAATTCTTTTACATTGCCAAAGTCTAGCTCAGCCGGTCAAATAAGGTAAAAATTATAATAAATAATATATTTGTGTAATACAATATTTTGATTTTTTGTATTATGATTTAAAATTTTAGATCACTAGTTGAAGAGACTACTCGTTGTTATCAAGATAATATTAAACGAAATGTCCCTGTTGGAATTGGTAAAAAATTCAGCTTATCGTCTGGTGCGTTACTAACAAAAATCTAACATTATTGATATTCTTGAGACTAGTATCAAATTAAAATAGTATTACCTAATATATTACTAATTATTTCAATACCTATACAAAATAACTTGATTTAAACATTTTTTACAATATCAAACATGTTTTTTCTAACTTATATAAAACTTCAATCTTAAGTAGTAAATTATGAGTTATTGTTAGAGACCAGAATTATGTGTTTTCATATTCAAACTGAGTGTACGCAATACCATAAAAGTGAAAATGAGTGTTGCAAATCAAATTGATTAAGTAAACCAAGTTGTATTTTATATTAATGCATATTTGAAGGGTTATGGCATACTTTGTCATTAGAGAGCATATAACTTGTATAATTTATCTATTCCTTTATAATATGTCAAACAACAATTAATTTCAAATTTAATTATTGCTGAAAGATATTTAATAAACAAAAATSCTACTATGCTACTAATTGCTATCAAAGAATAAACATAATTAAATACCTACTTCAAAGGTTTATGATGGTCATTTTTGAGGGGACTTGTTTACTTGTCTTGTTATCACTGTGTATTAATTTGTCACACATTTTTAATGCTCATACCCCATATTCTGAAAAATGTTATAATTTTTATCTTGCACACTTCTATTATATTTTTCACATTTTTAGTCCATACAATTCTGGTATCTAATTAAAGCCTAAAAAATTATTAAATTATTATGTTTAATTTGAACTGAATCTTTATTTGGTTGCGCTTAGCATAATACATTTAATTTATTCTATAAAATATAATAGTAAATATGCTTTGCTACTCTAATTCATTAATACTTCTGTTGAAAAAAATTAATTTAGTATAATTTTTAAACTTAAATACATTGTTTCCAGAAATACTGCTTGGGTTGATAATAAGGGTTTTACTGTTACTTAATGACTGCTATGCTTATAATTAAATACACTTAATCTCTTGTCAGCTATTTCATGCAAAATGTACAAAATCCAAAATAAAATACACTATAATATGTGGTTGATTGTCAACAATATCAAAAAATTTAAATCCAAAAAATAATTGATCAAAAGTTTTTACAATGATTTACTTAACATGTTGACTGCCATGCAGCCACCGGCTTCCGTATAAAAATAATTAAGTATTGATCATTTTTAGATCGCCAGCTGCTACATCATATCATTTGTAGGAGGCCATACGGCCGCAGGCTGCCGTAAATTAATTTGGATTTATATTATTAACTTTTCAGTGGCGCTACAATAATAATCTTGAAAATACGCTGTGGGGTGGTGGGAATAATTGCAATTTTTTGATGYAATAAACATAATTTTAACATTTATTTTTGTATTTTTAATTTTTTTTCAAATTAAATAGTTATATTATACAAATACAAATTTATAATGACACTGAAAAATTTCCTTGGCGTACCTATGATTAATATTCTTGAGGCCGCATGGCAGTTAATGTGTTAATATTAGTATGACTAATTTTCCATTCAAACAAATAGAAGAAAAAAAAGTTTTGTTGAAATTTAACTGTAACTTTTATTAATTGCATTTAAATTGTTATCAAATTTAATGATTTACTGGTATTATTTAAAGAATCTCCCTGATTAAATATTTAAACACAAATTGAATGCTATAGTTAGTTGAATATATTAATTGACGAAGATCATATCGGTCATGGCTCTATTGATAGTTAATAAATTTTATTATGAATATTATATGAAAGTATGTCTACTGTCTATAAAGTTTTATAAAATCAATAATAAATGCATATGTAACTATTTTATTATAATGGTGGGGCACCTATGTCATATTGAGAATTAAATTTAGATCAGCTGGACCCCCCCCCCCGATCCCATTGGTTCCTCCCCTAGGCTTATACTCCTAATCATAGACATTTAAAAGCATAATTATATTTTTATTAGGTAAAATATTTCCGAAAGAAGAAGATGAGGAAGGTGAAATGTTCAACCACTCATGCCTTGCAGATCTCAAACAAGGTAGGGTGAGACTCAATGATAATAAAAAACAATATAATGAAAGACTGTCAGAACTACAAGCTCGCAACTCGCTTTGTCCGCCACATTTAAGAAGTTGTTATGCTGCAGAGACCAATTTCTTGCCAAATACCTCATTAGTTTCAGAAGAAGATATTAAGGTGATTTGTTATTATTTTTTACAAATTACAACCAATCATAATTGATTCATCATTTAAATTTGATCCTTTTATTATAGACAACGGCTAATTATAGTGATTATGAGACTGAAAACCTTATTCCCAATGATCGTATGAAGAAAAAAGATAGAAATCAGGTATTTTTTAATTAATTCGTGTGCCTATAATTAAGTATTACTTAATGTTTTTATATTATTTTCAGACATCCTATAAAAAACCAGGACCACCAACTCCAAGTAAAAATGGAGGTCGTGTTTCTTTATCGGTATGATTTTATTATTATCTTAAAAATAAATATTTCTTAATTTGTAAAAAATTATTTAAAATTAAACACTAATATTTTTTATACATCTATAAATTAATCTTACATAGTAATTTTGTAATTAATAATTATTTGTAAATTAAATTATTTCTTAAAAGAAGCCAAATTTCATTAAAATTAATTTTGTCTTTCACATTTTTTTTTTAATATTATCAACATCATATTTTTTTGATAGTGTTTGTAGATGATTTTTGTCATATAAATCCTACACTATAAAACATTTATTATTTCCGTTGTCTTTGAATTTTAGATTTTAATATATTTTAGTTAGAATTAATAATAAGTATATTATGTAATATATTGCTATATGTTGTGTTCCCAATGAATAGTTAGATTTATCCAATTCTTATATGATTTCAGAACAATCAAAAAAACACATTAAAAGAATCTAAAGAATCAAATACTAATAAAAGACGAGCCAGCAGTACTCCAAACAAATTATTTAGCTTATTTATGAGCAAAAAGAATTAATTTTATATAATTTTTCAAAATGTTGAAGTATCTAACTATTGCACAATTATGTGCAAACAATGTTTATAAAAATTGTATATCTTACTACATTCTACTTTATTACATTTTTTGTTTTTAATCTATTTTTATTATCACTTTTACTATTAAATTGTATTTAAATTTCTTAATATAATAAAATAGTATTATCATTAATTTATCAATGCTTATTGCTCATTACTATTGCTATTATTATTCGTTGATTCTCTTGGGCCTTTTCACCTATACCTGTAACCCATTGAAACGTGATCACTTGGTTCTCGGCACACCAATTGCATCATTTAGATGTGCAAAAAGTGATTTTCTATGCAATGAAATTCCAACTCTGTTCTTACTCTTCTGATATAACTTTATGCCATCATATTCATACAAATTATGAATTGTATTAATTGTTTTCTTACATACCTAATATAACTTAATATTAGTGTACACTACTACACTAGGTATTTGATAATGCTGAAATGTCAAATTATAAAAATGTTTCTAGAGTATGGAGTGGAATACCATTCCAGGGATCTGTACATAAAGTATGTATTGCATGTCCCTATTGAATATCTACTCAGTAGCAATCCGCATACCTAAGATTKTTCAATGGAGAAGGAAGGCGAAATAAAGTAAATCAAAATTTGATATCCATTACCTTATACTAAACTGTTATTAATATATCCTGTAACTAATAACCTTTACAAACAATTAATGATACACAGAATATTTCTACATTCTACATAACTATTTTTAGAAATATGCTTCATAATTCATAGTTTGAACTATGCCTATTATCATATAAAATGTATACCACAACGTGGCCTGAAGTAGTGAAGTCTCTTTAGCCTCCCCCCCTCCCGGTAATCCACTGGTCTTATATAATCTATATATTATGTCCTGAGAAATTATATAAATAACAATCAAAGTAGGTATACTATATTGAATTTATAATATTGTTTTGTTAATGGAAGAAAGTTTATAGGTCCATCTTAAAAAATAACAATAAGACAAGTATTTTTATTTTGTAGTTTGAGTCTGTAGACATTTCTTATAGTAGAAAAAATGCTTCAATCTTTAACTTAAGGTGATCGTAGTAAGGCTGACAGTATTTTCGAAATACCGTATGAGCAAAAAAAATTTGCAATTTATAAAATTTCTTTCCTTATTTGAAGGTTTAATTTTATCAAATTCATCTTTTTTGCAGTCAACATTTGTTTGAATTTTGAATCGGTAGGTTATTAACTAATTTTAATAACTTAAATAATAAATATATATAATTATATATATATATAATATATAAATTTTCTTTTATATTTTTAAAAAAAATTTATATTAAAAATTGTTTTCTTTTTTTTTTGTTTTACTTTATTATGTTGTAATATGACATACMATAAACTTTAATTTTAATTTAATTTTTAGTTCATTTTTAATATGAACTCAGATTGAAACTAGTTTATTAAACATGTTTTTCTGTATTCCACTTCTTGTTTGTTGCAATAAATTCTAATTTTTAATTTTTAATGATAATCGTCTAAAGCCGGCTGGCGTACTTGATAAGTACGCCAATACTGGAGCACTTGAACGAGTAGCCAAGTACACTGTTCCCATTGCTGGCTGTTATACGAAYCGGTCGTGGGATCAGTAGTACAAGTATATTGGCCGTTCCTTTGACTTGTGTCACATTTACCGACAATCGCCGGGAACGACAYCAGTGACAAATAATTGTACAAGTATGGCGATCTGACGGCATGGCAAGTAAAGAGCAAGGTTACAAGTAACCACCAGTACCAAATAACCAAATATTTGCCAAGTAAACTAGTCGTGGCCTCGTGGGATATAGTCTGTTTCACAACACTCTATAGCAGCACGAAGCGTGGCCTAAGTTTTGCATTTCATTGTTTCCCAATATTTTAAAAAAACCGCGGCAATTCTAAATGTTCGTATTATATTATTTAATAATTTTGGATTCCCGCCATAAAATTATCATTTTATCATAATTTATATTTTGTAAACATTCACCTCTTAGATAAAAGAATTTCGTCCATTTTTACGGCTATGAGTATAAAAGTGTTGTCCATCTGGTATTTTTATATATCTGTGGATAAGAGCCATCTCTGTCTTTCATAGAATATACCTATCTACAAATGAGCAATAATCATCGAGGCAATAACCTAACCTAATAGTAATAAATAAATAGAGAGATTATGCTTAAATAATATGTAGCTACAAAGTATACAATACATATTATACATATTGTTATAAATAACAGGAACACAACTTGCTCCACATAAGCGGCCTTTTTCTGGAAATCGTACTCCATAATCTGATGAGCAGTTTACACTTCACTARTCTCATATCTCCAGCTTTCCAGTCGCGCACTGAGCCACGACTGAGGTTTAACCATTGTATCWATTCTGTGGTTTAACTGTTTAAGAAAAGTGTCCTATATTCTGATATTCATATAAGTATTTAAGTCATAATGTTAGTTATAACTTGACCTATTATTATATAAGACGTCGTAGTGTATATTCGGTAATCGGTATCGATAAATATTTATAATGTAAAATAATATTATAATTTATAAGTAATTTATAACGTGGTGGCTGTCACACGATTTAGGATATTATTATTTAAATTTTAAATTATTTTATTATCAATATCATTATTWTAATTATAAACCTTATCAGTATTTTGTCATAATCAAACGCATTTTTTGGGCGCGTCTAAACGTTTTTACTGTTTTTAGTCTCGCCCCATAGTCGCTACAATTAAAGCATGTAATGTTATTACAGCTGACTTTCCCTACTGTTTATACTGTATCCAGACTACGATAAAGATAATGAAATTTTTGATAATCGTAAACCACACGTCAGGTAATGTTCGAATCACTCAAGACTCAACAGACAACGCTACAAAAATCAACCACTTTTAACTCGGAAAAGTCAGTGCCCCGTGGTTGCTGGATGTACAGAATTTGCTTTTGCTATATGACTGGATGAATAGATAAAACATTTATTTACGGCCGTAGCCTACGATTAATGATATTATATCGTTCTGTTGTCTTACATAATTGAATTCATTAAATACTTATTCATTTYAGTTGTGTCTAGAAAATAGTTAATTAATCCAGCTCTTCTTTTATTTTTACAATTATATCAAAATGTATACAAATCAGTATACTCCTCAGTATTCACAATATAATCAACAATATCAGCAATATCCATCTAATTACTATCAAATGTACAATTATAACCAACAACCTGCTTATAACGTTCCACCACCGACGCAAACAGCTGCAACTTTTATAAGTCCAAATGTACCAGTCCAACAACCACAAGTATCAACTCCCGGACAAAATGTTACAAGTTTGTGGATGGGAAGTGTATGTGAAACCATATTTTATAATTTTTTGGTAATAGATAACAATGAAGTATTATTATTTTAGCTGGAACCTTATATGTCAGAGAGCTTCATCACTGGYGCATTTCAAAAGATGGGAGAATATCCAAAGAATGTTAAGTTGATGCGTAATAAAAATACGGGTGAAACTGCTGGTTATGCATTTGTTGACTTCTATGATCCTGTATCTGTTATGCATAAACTTAATGGAAAATATATACCTGGTACTAATCCAGTAAGTAGTAATTTTATTTTTATTTCCCTGTCCATATTCATTCTGGGTCAATCAAATCAAACAGTTGTTTTATTATCTATTCGAATTTCGAATATCAGTAAATTTAAACATTTAATTTGTTTAAACCAAAAGAAATATGGACCATGTAAAAAAGCAACTTTATAAAAATAAATGCAAGATAATTTTTAGTTTAACACTCTATAATACCAATTTCATACTTTTGTCAGGTATTTTATAAAACCTTTTAATACGCATGTGTAATAGGTATATAATATTTTAGTCATATATTTAGATAACACTATAACAGAATACTATGAAATAGAATGTATAGATATAATACACAATCATTATATAATATTTTATTAATACCATAATATACATTATGTATAAAATTACACACATTTTTCACAGTTGAGGTTGCTAGCCACAGCAGATGCTACTGCTAGTTTGTTTATCCAACCAATAATAATGTTATAATATTGTCCAATAAATGCTTACTGATACACACGCTAGGGCTTTTAATTTTAA